GCATTACGGTAGGGTGCCGACAGCGTCGTAGTTAATGCGCCTGGGAAACCAGAGGTACGGGGTTCGATTCCCCGCGGCGCCCGCCCTTCCTGCCAGGGTGACAGGCAGGCGATGCCATATAGCCTGAGGAGCTGAGTGCGTCGTAAAGCCCCAATGACAACAACAACGACAGCATTATGGTACGATCAGCCTGCTACAGACATGTAAGCCCGTCAAAATCGTGACTAGTCACTGGTTGGGCTGACTGGTTTGGCCCAGCAGGGTGTTCTCATTTTATACAAACGTTCGGCACCATGGGCGACGACATCTGACTTTGTTTCACCCAAGAACTGATCTGGTTCCGCCTGTGGTCTCGTTTGTGAGGAGTACAAACGCGGTCATTTTCGGCGTTAATGGAAACATGAACCACGTTGGAGAGCTTTGTCATGACGGACCCATGGTCGCTATATTGATGCATTTCTTAAGACTTCAGCTGGGCCACCCTTCAACTGACGCATCACGAAAACGCGAAGCACGCAGCCTGCAGTCCCACGGCTTGGACAAACCCAGGAACACCCGAACACAAATTACGGGATGCTTGCGCTGAAATAGGGGACGGCATTATGACATGGCCTAAAATGCAAGTTACAAATTTTTAATGACAGATAACTTCATTTGTAGCATGTTCTTTTATTTTTGGTGACAGCTTTGCCACCACTTAAGTGTGCTGAAAATTAAGATATTTCATTCTTTTCTTTTCGGAGCAGAGAGAGAGCCAAGAATAGGACATCCAATTTGGTCAAAGGGCTCGGCTTCGTTGAAATCCCTTCCAAAGCCAAGATCTTCTTTTTATTCTCTTCTGGCCCGGGCTTAACATCACAGGCGGCTCCAAAATATGCATTGCTCTGCCATAAGTCTGCGTTATAATTGGTATGAAACAGCCAAAATAGTTCTGGGTGACCAGCTGACTCAGGGTTGACCCCATGTTATAATCAACCCCCCCCCTCATGCAAACCATGAGGGGCAACGTGTGTTGGGTAAAGGCCCATCATAGGTAAGAGGATGTGCCAAGTTGTAGTGCGGGTGGGCGATCTGCCTATCTAAGGTTTGAAGAGAAGCCTGACTTTTCTAATAGCCAGGCCCGATTCTCCGTTCGGTTACCCTTAGCCTCTCTGCATTCAAGGCTGCGTGTAAAGGAGATCACCTCTGACCATCCCTGTGTCTTGATGACCCGGATGTAATCGGGGTCGACTCTGGAGTCATTAGGATCAGTCAAGGTGAAAATATAACTTTGGAAGTCTAAGCAAGTCGGAGTCGTGGCTGAGTTAGTCGCTTTGATTGGAATCAGTCCTAAGCCGACCAGAAATGTTCATCACGGGAAACTTTGTTACAACCATGTACCCAGCTCTCAGATATGCAGGACACGAAAAATAACACATTACCATTCTAGCCGAATAAAGGCCACAAACAGTCTTTTAATGTAGTCTACGTAGTGGTTTATCAAGCAAGCCCTTCCACCGGAATCGACTCTATTGTAACTGATGCCGAAATTCATCACATCTCCCTGGGTCAGAATTGAAGTCGACTCCAAACAGTGCTGTGCTAGCCGGAGTCGTTTTAGAATCTTGAGTGCAAGGCTGCTGTTAAGTAAGGATGCAGCTGCATACCCAACATCCCATAAAATACACGGTAGGTTTATGGCGCGGCACAGAAGAATGAACCCAAACATGACATTCGCATCACTAACATTTTGGGGAAACTTTCACCTCTGGTCATAATCAACCTCATGAGTCGCAAATGGATGGTGCAACCGATTCTGCTAGAGCGGACTCCTTGGCTAGTCTAAGTTTAAGTCACTACATTATCTAGCACAGTCCCACGCCAGGCAGCATGTGTGGAGCCAGGATGACGAAAGGGCAAGTAGAAAGTTGAGGGTTTAGACTGCGGAGAAAGTTTAAGCATGGGTAAGGATTAGGGTTGTTAGCAATCTATGGTACAACGGTTCGGGGCAAATTCACTTTAATTTTTTTTCTCTATGGCTCTTCATTGAAGTCTGGCAGCTCAACCAGCCGAGCGAAACTGACGCAAAAGCGACGTACCTGTGAGCTGTTTACATGTTGCGCTTTGCGTCGTTGGAGAATAATGACGTGTCGTACCGGACACTGCTGGCGGGATTGTAGGGGTCGGAGGTGAGCGGGGCGGTGTTTATACTCATCGACGGATGTAATGAATTAAAAAAGCAATATGTAACAACATGCTGTTTCCTGATAGTGCATGGGTCAGAGTGGGCCACTTTACCTGTGCCACCCCTCCGTAGCGAGCACGGTATTCAACCCGTGCAAATGCCACGGCTGGATGGTAGTCTTCATAATGATGGAAACGTGGTCTCACCAGAAAGTCAGTGTAATTAAGACACGTCAAAAATGTAGGCTGCTTCAAGGGCAGGGAATTGTGCTCTTCCTTGGGACATCCTTTTTCACCTAAACACATTTTGATTGGTGAACATCAGTTTACCAAAGAGGAATGTAAATCGTGCCAGATGCACAGATTGCCAATGAAGAAATCATAGCTGTTGCCTGCCGTGATCAAATGATGTCTTGTAGCAAAAATGCTCCCATGTTATTTCCAATAAAAGGCACATTTGAGTTTAGATGTCAGGTGCTATGTGATTGTGAACGCATGCAGAACGTGATCAGGCATTTGCTCCCACACTGCAAAAGTTCATGGTAGCCTGTCAGCCAGCACTACCAGTTTTCCTTCTGGTCTGCAGTCTGAAAGAAGGGAGGGGAAGACAGCTCAAGAGGGGCAACTTAGAAATGAGCTACTGTGCAGCACTTCAGTATCCTGTCACTGGTGGCAGGGATGTCAACATTTAGCTATGCTTTTACATCTTTAGCTTGGGGCTCACTGTCTGTTGAACCTCCCTGTGCTCAAAATCATGCAATCATCATCAAAGTGTGGTAATCAACCCACCATCAAAGGACCTCAGGTTTGACAACTGGACTGGGCAGGCCATATTTCTGGCTTGAGGTTAATTGTCAGTGGTTAGTGCCAATAAATTGCATGCAAAGGCTGCTGTATAGCAGGGATTCTGGTAGCATAAATTTATAGTTGTATCCTGTATGTTGTAACCCTTCTGGATGAATGTTAAAATATTGTCATGGGGAGCATTTCTACATGTGCTTCCCATGTAGGCTTAGCTTTGAGGAAGTTGGATGTGGGATGTTCTATTTACTAGAACACAATATTGTACTATATAAAGCTGTGCTCTTCCTCATGCAGTCTTTTATGTCCATTGTTCATAATGTTGAAATCAGGATGACAGAATGTTCACAGTAAGCACCTCAGAATTTCTAGTGGGAGACTGCTGGGTTATGATGTGTTCTGACCTTTTTCAGTAACTGTATGAAGTGCCCTGGTGTGCATCATGTGCTCATTGCTGCATTTAAAATCTCTCCACACTGGCATTGACATGACACTTAGGATAGCCCAACATTGAGATCCATAATTTGCATTATAGTATCACCTGTATCCCAAGTCACAACACTACATGATGGTCAACAATCTGTTCTTTTATGCGATTAATGATATTTGATGATATTTTCATTGAAGTACACTGATGTTTGAGACACTATACAGTGTCTGATGACATAAGCATGTTCAACTCATGCTTGTTAACTAAAATTCTTTTGGTACTAATATTAAAGTATGATAGCTGATGGCATGTTCTCAGCATTTATCATTGTATTAAACTAATTCTGCTCAGTATGAAACATATCAGACAGACAGTGACATCAATGTGGTCTAAAAAACGACTTAGCTAGGCAAGCACTTTACACCCCTGTACCACCCGCTCTGGGGTCATATAAGCTTACTAAAAATGAGTGCCAACCAAACTGTCCCATGCTAGGATAAAAAGCTAGCTAGCATTTAAAGCTACTCTCAAGTGATGGCGAAATGCATCAGAGCAGCTGGCGAGGAGTGCACGGGGCGGATCTAGGATGCTTTTGGCACACATTTATTTTTACATGGCTTGTAGGTCACGCTTAGTGAGCAGCTCTTCCACCCGGAGCCATTGGAGTGCGGTCGGCGTCTCGGTCACTGTATCGCGGTATCAAAGGTCTGTGACGATGCATGAAAGCTTATGCATTTCTGCAGGCGCCTCAGTCGTGCAATCGCGCAGCCTCCTCAAACAGATGGACAATATTTGACATGAGGAATGGGAACGCCTCTGTCAGTATATGCCTGGTTCTGGGCGGCATACGGCTTGGGATTCTGGCTACTGCCATCAACTTAAATGATGTCGTCCGACGTTCACCATGTGTTTGTCTCACATCAAGGCTGCATGGACGATAGCAGCCCCGTACATTGACGGACCGAACTGGGGTGATTTTACAGCTTCTGATAGTTACAAATAAGTTTGAATTTGTATTTTGGTGCCGTGATTTAATAATCTCAGTCTTGGATGAGCTGCTCCTTAATCCATTCTAAGTAAACCAGTTGAGAGCAACAATCAATTTTCACCCCCTTTCTGTCCCTGAATGTACAATCGCAGCTCGGTGTCAATGAGCTGAGCGTCGTCTACGGCTGCGCACGCGAGGAGATTATCACGCGGCACATGTTGCAAACGATAAGAATATTACTGGATCCAGGATGGACCCCTGTACTACACCGTGAGAGTCAGAGTTCACGCTGGAGCCCTCCCCCCCGGTGGTTTGGGTACGTCCGCTGAGCCATGGACGGATCCATCTGTCGTCGACCTCGTACCGCCCCAGCTTCACCAGGAGACGGCCGCCCTCGATGCTGTGAAAAGCCTCGGACGCGATGATCAGTGAGGGCACGCGTCCACCGTCGATGGCAGCGTAGTCAACAGCATCAAGCAGGGCCGCCTGTGTGGAGAGACCGGGGTGGAAGCCGTACGGTCTGGGGCATAGGATGCGTCGATTTGATACTCATTCCAGTGTAAAATGACCAGGTGCCCCGTACTTTGTATTTTATTGGGATAACTTTGTTTCAGAGCAAAGCTAAGGATCTCATCACTCGCTTTACTCCTATGGCATCCAGCAAGGATTCACTCAAGGAATATGTAAAATCCATTGGTGCCCCAGGCACCAATACGGCAAATATTTTTGGCCTTAAGTCATGGATGACTACCGGTCGGGCTGAGACAGCAGTTCCTCTACTCGAAAATGAGGACAATTTCCAGGAGCCGGCTGGATCATCCAGTGAGAGCTCATGGTATGGAAGCAGTGCTGGGTCATTCCTCGGACTGGTAAGTGAAGGAGCGCTGTGTGCATTGTGTAATGGCATTAGTTCTGGTAGTAGGAGACATGTTCTCATTCAGTTCACTGATGCGTGGAAAATGGTCTCATGCTCACTCAGGCTGTGCTTATTTATCATCGAAGTTATCATGAATAACAAGGGTGTGGTTAGAAGGAAAACACATTAGATCTTCAGAGATCCACACATTATCATACGTAATTGTAGTGCTGTAGCAGATCGCACACTTGATCTCATCCAAGCCATGGTTTGCTCTGAAATGTTCAACCAACATGTATTGGCTTAAAATTAGCGTCTCTTTTACAGAGCAAGAAACAGCGCATCATTGGCTTCATGATGTGCCTCTGTCTTGGTTCCATCTGCTTCACCATCGCCGGCTTCACCTTGCCCTTCATTGCCTTCAAAGCCAGGAAGTTCGCCACGCTCTTCACCCTCGGCAGTGTCTTCTGCATGGCGAGGTACGTCACCTGTTGAACTCGAATCACTTCGCTGCTCCAACGAGCTTTATCCGGAGATGTGCGATAAACGAACCCGGAGATAATGAGGGCAATGCAACATTTATGGCATGCTCGACGGAATAGTAGTGTGCCTTACTCGTCTCGGAGCCGATGGCGGTGCCTGCGTCTGGGAGCGGGCAGCGTTGTCTGCGTCTGGGAGCGGGCAGCGTTGTCTGCGTCTGGGAGCGGGCAGCGGTGTCTGCGTCTGGGAGCGGGCAGCGTTGTCTGCGTCTGGGAGCGGGCAGCGGTGTCTGCGTCTGGGAGCGGGCAGCGGTGTCTGGCTGCAGAGTTCGGTTTCACTTGTTCCCAAGATTATTTCTCGCTGGATCCAGGGCCATGAGGACTCCTGCAAGCATTACTCTGGTGTTAGCATGCAGAGTAAGCAATATCTGTTGTCATTCAGCCAGATTTGTCAAAAGTTCATTGTGATGTAAGACCAAGCTTTATTCTAAACAACTTTATGCTGAAAGCAACCTCTGTTTTGTATTGTGTCAAGTAATCTCCTGTCTCCAGCTAGCCTCATCTTGTGTCAGCACGCTGAAAGACTGAAGGATAAGTCAGGTTATGAAGCGTATTCTGTCGTTGCCTTGAAAGAGATGACTCTAAATCTCACGTTAGATTTCAATCTCCCCGCGTAATGTAATCAAAGTTTCCTTTTAAACACGCCTACCTGAGCTCACGTTTAAGCAGCTCTTACAATGGGCAGCTTTAAAAAGAAATACAGCTTTCAATGAAATGGACGTCTCCCAGTTCATTCAGTCATTCTGCTTCAAGTTTGCCCCATGTGTTAGCATTAAGTCCACGATATTTCAGTGAAAACAAGCCTATGGTCTTAAGCCCATCCACATATTATAAGTTGCTAATCCCATTTGTCATGCTAGTTGCTTTTCGGTGTAATTCTTCCAGCCTTTCTGATGTCTTTTTGGAAGTATAGGGACCAAGCCTGGACACAATATTGTAGGTGTGGTCTGACATCAGCTAAGTACAACTTTTTGACAACATTCCTTTTCTTGTTATGGACACCTGTTGACAAGTTCAAGCAGCCGAAGCGCCTATAAGTACCAGCATCCCGAGCGCCTTGTTCCCAACAACGGTCCCACAGTGCTTTTTAGGCTTTAAATTCCTGAAAATGATTACCCTTAAGTCTTTTTCTTTCTCGATCTAATCCAACTCCCGGCCTCCCATTTTATCCTTGATGCCCTCACAGCCAGAACTGCCAAAATGTATCACCTTACACTTACCATGATTAAATGTCACCTGTCACAGAGAAGCCTAGTTTTCTAGTTTCTCAAAGTCAGGTGCCACCTGGTCTGAATTTTTTGACACCCCTATCAATTAAATATTCTCAGGAAATTAAAGCACTTTACCCTCTAATCCTATCTCCATGTTGATGATGATTTGGGGTTTTAGGGCACATGGACTGCTGAAGGTCATGCAGCGCCCATCTATCTCCATGTTATTCACAAAAATAATAAAGAGCAAAGGGCCCAACTTTGACCCCTGTGGAACCCCATTGTCTACTAGCTCCCACTGTGATTAAGTACCATTGAGTACTGCTCTTTGTTTCCTGTCTTGTAGCCAAGCCCCTACCTAGCCAATAATTTTTCCCTCAATGTCACGCAATTTTAGCTGATTCAGGAGATGCTGGTGTGGCACCTTATTAAATTCCTTACTTGAATTTAGACAAACAACTTCAAAACTATTTCCTTTATCTACCTGACTAGTAATGTGCTCCTTGGACTCCAGAAGATTTGTCAAACAGGACCTACCAGAAGGAAAACCACGTTGACTATTTATCAATTGATGCCTATCTAAGTGTGACTTAATGCTAGCCTCAATGAATTTCTCAGATATCTTGCACACTAGTAAGGTAAGACTAACAGGCCTGAAAGGCAGCCTGACATGTCTGAGACAAGACTGACAGCTTGACAGGTTCAGACGGATTCGTTTCTGCTCCTCCAACACTGACTCAATTTTGTTTTCAGTTTCTCTCTGCTGTGGGGGCCGTGGAATCATATCAAGCATGTGTTCTCCAAGGAGCGTCTGCCCTTCACATCGGTGTACATAACATCGCTGGTAGCTACCCTGTACTGCTCGCTGCATCTGCACAATACGCCACTGACTATCCTGTGCGCGGTCTGCCAGCTCCTGGCGCTGCTCTGGTTCATCGTTAGTTACATTCCCGGCGGACAGAGGGGTCTGCAGTTCTTTTCGTCGCTCTGCTCATCCTTCGTGCGTAGCACGGCGTCACGAACGCTGCCCGTGTAAAAACACCGTCGAAGTATTGTGCCAAAACAACGTGTTTTTCGTAGTCTTGCCGTTAGCTAGACCTTGTCAGCAGTGTTGCTGTATCACCCTTTCATGGCCTGTGACGGGGGTGACGCGCTGTGCGCTGTTTCAATGCGTTGTTGACTGGGAGGGTGTGTGTTATATTTATTGATATCTGGGCTCTGTGATGTAATTGTTCTGGTTATGGCGCTGCGGATTATTGAACACAGGTAGAATCACAACTGACACGTTGAAATAATGTGGTGCATGAGCACGGCTATGTTCCGTATTTTGCCAGTGCCAGTCCTTTTTTGGCGCGCGTGGGGTATGGCTTTCGTCCATCACTTGGTGTATTACCTGCTTTCATACACATGCCTTTAAATCGTGGTGATGTTACTTGCATGGGTTGCTTCAAGTGATTGTACGAAAAGTGACTGGGCTCATCAGATGTTTTCTAATTGTTACTACTTTCCTAAAATTTGATAGAAAAATTGTGATAACAAACGAGAGTTAACGCCACAGGAAATGCCAAGCAGCCGAACCAGCGCTCGCGCTTAAACCTCAACCGTAACGCTAAGCGCGCCGGCATTTTGAAGTACCGCCACCTCGCACCCGCCTTCCTCACGAGCATTGGAGAAGGCGCAGCTTCGTAAAATTATTTCCGGGCAAGGTGAAAGTCTGGGTAGAAAGAATGGCACCGAGTGGGGCTTGGCAGTACACCACAAATTTCTGCAAAGGCCGGGCTCAATCCGCCAACGGTCTTATATGCGCGCCATTGTTGGGAAGGGTTGATTGGGTGTCAGAATTTATAAAGGCAGTGCTTCACCTTCAAGAGCTGTCAGATAAGAACGGGATATGTCTTCGTCATCGGGACAGGGCCATGCTGTTAACATGTCCTGACAAGCGCCGAAAGCATCCCCATTCCGCCAGAGTTGGTTCGGCCCATTGCGTCATGCCGGCCATGGTATGACGCAATGGACCAGCGACCGCATCGAATCAGCGGCCAGCCGACGGCGGCGGCTGGCGGCCGCTCCGGCGGTTCCTCCGTCAGCCGTCCGTGTTGTCGTTCTTGGTCACGTGCAGTCTTTCTGGTGGGTGTCCTGGTTTGGAAGAAAAGTGCCGGAACTGGAACGTTTTAATCATGGTTGTGAATGTGCTTTTTGGACTGCATGCAACCGCGCCGTCTCAGGTCAAACTTCGCCTGTATGTGAACCGTTTGCTAGAAGTCGGTTTGTTCACGAACAAGCTGCGGGATATCGTAAGTCCTTCTACAATGTCGACTGAGAAGTGAACGTGCGACTGAATTGGGTATTGTGCCACTTGTACATGGAAGGAATAAACTTGCACTGTGTTCTCTACTTTTGTCGACATATTCTTCAGACGTACGGATTGAAAACTGCCTTGCCTTTCATCATATCTACGAAGTTCAATTGTTGAGCCAAGTCGTGCTCGATTTTGAACGGAGTCGGAGTCAACTGCATGCTTTTGCAGTCGATTTTTGCAGTCAAATTTTCTTTGAGTCATGTTGGAGTTATTGCTATGAAGTGTTCGTGTGGTTCAGAGTCAAGAGTCGAGTGGTCGCGTCGAACACAAATGTGAGCAACAGGTTTTTAACGCTTGCTAGGTTAGATATGCACCGAATGAAACACATTCATGTATTGCTAAGTTGTTAATAATAACAACGATGCTGCGACCCAAAACCGAGGATGATCGGGCCAGGGATGCTGCCTATGCTGTATTACCAATGTGATATGACACATACGTATCCAACCAGTGTACTGTCTTTTTAAATAGTTCCTTCACAGTCGCCAAGGTACTAGGACGCGGGGCCAGGGCGTTCGAAAGCCACAGTCACCAAAAACGTAAATCATTTGAAATATACCTAATGGATTTGAATTGTCAGGTCTTGGCAGACCCGAAACCAGTCAAAACTTCCAGCTATAAATGCTTCACGCGTAGATACTTTGCTTCCGTGACATCTGCTTGTCAAACTTATGAAAGGAGGATATTGCGATGCATTGATTAGTCCTATCCGCGTGGGCTCCCGAATGCGGCGGACTTCATTCGCTACCATCGTGCGCAAGCAACACACATCTGCGTGGTGACAGTCCCATCTGCTATCAACTCAGTCGTCGAAAGTCGTTTCACTGTTATTGAGAAACAGACTTCATTGGTGCGGGAGTAACATAATGACCTACGCGATAATCTGTCTACATATCTGTACGCCATGTTTTTTTTCTCACACCCCGTTTATCCTTTCAATAAACATTTTGGTAACTCTGGGAAGGATATGGTAACGGAAACTTTTTGCCTCGCTAGAAACCAACTTACCGCGACAGTATCCTCCACACCGACACACGCAGCAGTTAACTTCAAATTCTCAGTGTTTGCACGTGACGAATGCGTTACGACCACGCGCAAACAATCGCTTGCGAGTCACGGACTGCGCAGGAAAGTAACGGGGACTGCACAGCAAACAGGGACTACGCATGAAAACCTAAGATGACCGAACTCAGCCAGACGCTGACCACGAATCACGTGTCGCACTGGGTAAACTCAAAAACTTATGCAAGATATGCGATCCAACAACCTGCCCTGGCTGCATTTATTTTCCGCCTTTTCTTTGAGCTGCCTTTGCGGGGCATTTCGTAACAAGCCACGTTCAACTCGTAAGTTTTTTTCCCGCTGAAGCTGCAGGATCTAGCAAATTGCGTGCGCATCTTTACCTACCGGATCGGAACGGTTCGTTTCCCTTGAGATCCTCTCTAATCAGCATGGGCTTACTCGGCGGAATTGCATTGCTCCGAAAAATAACATAAGTGGAACAAGGGCCTCAAACGTACGAGTTTAATATTCTTTTCGAATCGGCGTTATCTGACGCAGAAGTTTTCCTTTACTCGCTCTCTGTACGTCGAGAAGGGGGCTCTCGCCCGCCGCCCTACCCGAAGTCACATTCCGATGCCTACGTGGCAGCCAGGCGATCTGCGAAACGATGCTGCTAAATCATTCGGAATCACCTCTTGCAATTGAATGTAGCCAGGTGGTGGCTGCCTGCCGTAAGGGCTTCCGGGTATCGGTGCCAAATCGCTTCCAGGATTGTTACCTGGGGAGTCAAATGTCGCCGCGGACAGTCGCAATCGATGCTCAAGGCCGCCTGTCGGTTGACGGCTGGCGCATTTTTCACTGTATGTAGAATCGCGTACGTAGATCGCGTATGTAGAGTCGCGTAATTCCTACCATACTTCATTCCCTGCAGCACCGTCATTGGAGCAAAAAATGCCGCAAGATCGAAACGCAGTAGATGTCAATTATTGCTCGACATTGTATGCCTCCTGGTATACTGAAGGCCGTCCGTCCATCCATTTTAGGCCGTATACCAGGGCCGTCCATTTTAAGCGCAACATTTCTTAGTACTTGGATGTGGTCTCTCCTGTCTGCTGTTCTTATCAACAGTAGACTGTGTTTCAGCGTTTACTGCGTTTTGAGCTAATGACTCGGATGGGGGGAATGCATTGCGACGGTAAATATCTCTTATGCTTTCGGCATGTCAGGTAAGTGCGGGATACAGCTTTGTACCAACTAACATTTTAGTTATCGCTGTCGTGATTAGAAAACAAATGATTGCGTAGTGCATGAAAGGCCCATGTTGAAGGAAATGGTATCGCTCACATGAAATACGAACATGTTCGTAAGGGCTTTGTTCGTAAGGTTGTGGCGGGACTTAAGAGAACCGTCGTAGATGTTTGCGAAAAGTGAGTTTCCTTGCAGGTCTTGCGTTGTACCGCTCACCGCCCGTTCTCTCCTTGCACTACGCAGCTACTTCGGAGGAAATGAGAACAGACGTCGGCATAGTATTGTATTTCGGACCCCACAAACCCTGACGTGGGGTCCCGTATCACAACGTAAGGCAGGTCGCATCTAGTAAACACCAACGGTAACGGCAAATGGTGATGGCGAACAACACACCGGTGAGCTCAGCGCCGTACCTGCGAGGTCAGGTGAGAGTGAGCGGTGTAAGGCTCACCCGACTAACTACCGCGGACGTCACTCGTGACTACACACCAACACTATGAAGCCGCTGACTGTGAGCAGCTGTGCACTGAAGCCCAGCCGGCTCCGCTGGCAGGGCCTTCAAGACGCCGGCACGCAGGCAGCTGATCCGATGGCCGTGTAGGAATCAAGGCGGACCAGCTTCCTGCTTTTCAATATTGCAATGCAACTATTTTTTCACTTTGCAGAGTAGATGACACGTAGGCAGGAGCGTGGCTTGCGGAGGTAGGTATAACGCGTAAGAGGACTATTTGATGATCTTCTTTGAATCACAAACAACACTTAGACGTTAATGGAAGGCAAGCTTAGTCGAATAGTTTTCGAATATTTCTTTCTGGCCCCACCAGCACAGCGTCAATTGGAATATTCGAACTCGACAGTATTTTGCGGCGTATTCATTTCAATTAGGTTCCGTTTTCTGCAACGATATACCTCAATGTTCGCTCTTTTTAATTACGTCGTTCTGGTTGTATGCTTTTAGCTTTTCTTTAAAAGGCATCTTCGCACAGTAGAGCCAAATCGCTCTACGGACATCACTTCGAACTTTAAAACATTCCGAAAAGTAATACTTACGTGATCATGAGGAACAATGAAAGCCTAAGTTCTAGGTGAATAGGTCAATATTGCCACTGACAAGTGCAGATGAAGGCCTGAAGGCATTGCCACTGGCGGCCTTCTTCTGGAACGGGATGAAGAACATGCCGTATAGCACACGGACTCTACGTAGGCGAGGAAGTGGCAGCATTGGGTGAGTGGCGTTCCACTAGCCAGCATGCTTGTGTAGCATTCTTCTACGCCGTCGAGGTAATCACTTCTTGGTGCGCTTAGGCATGACAACAATCCCTGCCAACATCATCACAAAACCACAGACCAGCACCGGCAGTCGCTTGCTGAGCAACTGCCGGCATCACTCAGCCCGGCAGGCGGAGTGCTCCATCGCCGTGTCGATGTCTACATTACACAGCGCGCGCAGGCAAGGTAACTATTATATCGCTTTTGATACTGCTGTGTACCATTGCAAGCTGCAGGCTTAAGAGCATGCTCAGCGGTCATCGGTCTGCCTTTCCCATTCACGAGGTTGAATGACACAGCCCGGCAACGACGACAACGCACACGGTCCCAACGCTGCATCTTCACTTCAAGGCATAGGAATATGGCCGGAGAGCTCCAATGCCCGGCACTGCAACGCGATCCCCGACAACTGCAAAGTCCAGTTGGAACGAACGGGGCTCAGCCACCGCTGCATCACTCGACAAACGCGGTGCAATAGCGCGTCCTCGTCGACGCCGGAGCTGGGAGCTGGCACAGTTAATAGTGCCTCGCTCGAACTGACCGGACTCATTCCACACCGTGCCGCCACTGTCAGGAGCTTACGGCTACTTTGCCGCTTCAACAAACAACAGTCCCTTACATTTCAGGACGCGTTCTTAACAAAATGGATTGGCTCTCCAGAGGGTCGAGTGCTCCAAATGTTCGGTTTATTCGGATGCAATTTGAGCCTCATTTGGATCTTTGGGCTCCATGAATGAACCAGCTGCAGACCTGGTTTGCCTAATCCTCTTCAAATATCAAACTTCCCTATCTTGCTCCCCTATCTAGCTCTCCACAAGCTCCTTTCTGCCCCCGCTCACTGTCTCGGAAAACCGTCAAGCACCACTGGATCATTCCTTCAAGGCTGCGACCTAGATAACCTTTTACAGAGTCTTTCCGAGCACACGTAACTGTTCAACAAGTTCAACAACAAGTTAACACGCCAAGTTCAACCCTTATTCTAATCTTGCCTGGGAGCTCGCCGACGGCGCTGCTGAGTATTATATCCCTCTTCTCCCTCGACATTCGGAACTCTACCAAACCCGCTCACTATCGGACCGAACTGACTCCCTCAGGATCCCACCAGATCCTTTTTCACCCGCCTGGACATTTCGTGGAGCCGTCTTTGACTACTTAAGTCCTCTCCTCTCATAGTCGGACTTCCTCAGGATTTCTCCGCGCCCTACTTGACCCTTCCAAAGGCCTCACCGCCTCCTATCCTGCTTGACTTTCTTCAGGTCCTCACTGCACCGTGAAGATGACATCATCGCATCCCCACTTGACCCGCCTCGCAAGTTTACTGAACCCTACCCAGCCCCTCGAACTCCTCTCCGTACCCTACTTGACCTCCCCAGCACCTCAGCGTGCACTACTTGACCCCCCCAGCACCTCGATGTGCCCTACTTGACCCCCAACACCTCAGCGTGCCCTACTTGACCCCCCCCCCCAGCACCTCAGTGTGCCCTACTTGATCTCCCCGGCACCTTAGTGGGTCCCACTTCACCCTCCCCAGCACCTCAATGTGCCCTACTTGGCCCTCCCAACACCTCAGCGTGCCCTACTTGACCCTCCCAGCACCTCAGCGTGCCCTACTTGACCCCAACACCTCAACGCACCCCACTTAACCCTCCCAGCACCTCGGCTTGCCCTACTTGACCCTTCCCAGCACCTCAGCGTGCCCTACTTGACCCCCAACACCTCAACGCACCCCACTTAACCCTCCCAGCACCTCGGCGTGCCCCACTTGACCCTCCCAGCACCTCAGCGTGCCCTCCTTGACCCTCCCAGCACCTCGGCGTGCCCTACTTGACCCCCCAGCACCTCGGCGTGCCCTACTTGACCCTCCTGCCGACGGCGGGGCTGCTGCGTGGCGTAGTGGCGGGCGTGACCAGCGGGGACGGCGTGAGACCGGCCGCCAGCGAGCGGGTGCTGCTGGACCGCTGCCGCGGCTCGAGCGAGCCATGCGCTCGACTCGCCTCGGGCGAGCCCGGCAGCGAGCTGTGACTCGACCAGCGCTGGCGGAAGATGCCCACCGTGCTGCCGGCGGGACGGAGAGACGTTAGAGGCGAGGGGACGGGGCCGGTGTTGTCGCCGTCGGCTGCTCGGGAACATCAGGCGTTCGCGCGAGACCCTAAGCATTCATAACGGCTGCGGACGGCACGGCCGTAGTTTGGAGGGCGATTACACTTCGACGATGGGAAGGGAGCTCTGGGCGGACTATCCGGAGACTGGAACACCACCCGCTTCGAGGCGGACCACGGGACCGGGACCCGCCGCGAGCCGGTGAGCGCCCGCCGTGCGGCGCCACGCACCGTTTGGAGTGGTTACAGATGCCGCGTGGGCAGCGGTGTCCGAGACGGCAGTGACCCTCGCACGTCTCTCCAGAGAGCAGCGACACGCGGAACAGCAGCGTCAGCTGCCGCAGGCGCGTCTCGTCCGCCTCCGGGTCATAGCCGCGGTACTTGTCGCGCAGTCGGCGCCGCTCCTGGCGGGTGTCACGGCATTAGTGCTGCGGTAAACACGCCTGCCGACAGGAGTGCTACGACATCAGCTATACGCGACGTTACTTCTACTGTGAAAACTTATACAGACTTAGCTTACACACATCACTCCTAGTGCAAAAAACTTATGCACGACATGAATGGTGCCTCACAGAATGCATGCTTCAAAAACTTATACCCGTCAAATACCTGGCATATATGTCACATATATCTCCACTGCCCAAACTTATACAGTCTGCTTGCGTGCATCACCACCTCGACTGCAAAAACTCATACACGACGTGAGTGCTACTCGACAGACCTTGCCGTGCATAAACTCATGCCTGCCATTACTTATACAGCATAGACTTAACAGTCCTTACTTGTCCGCGACATTACTTCTACGGCAGCATGTTATGTGTGTCATTAATGCTACCCAAGAAATCTCGAGAAGTCATAAAACTTCTATTTAGAGATGGTTATGCGCGCCATTATGTCTACCGTAAAACCGATATGGCCTTTACTTATCAGCGATATTATTTCATCAACCAATGCTCATGCGACATTGGTGCAGTACGATGGAGGTCGCATTCCACAATTTATAACCGTCAGTACTCCAACCATAGATTAAGCCTCACCATAGGTTACCATAGGTTAAACCTAACCTCAACCATAGGTTAAACCTAAATTCTGTACAGGGGGCGAACACATGGAAACACTTGGCCGAGCGAAATCAGATTACAGGTGCTCACTCAATAGTGTCGACACATTGTTGCTGCTGTCAATATTGCGATTGGCAAACACTCGATTACATCAGTCCTGCGCGACATTTCTTACGCCTAAAAAAAACTATGACGCAGCTGTGTCGTAGCCTTTAGCGCCCTGCTGGCAGCGAATTATTTAGCTTGTTAATTTTGTTGAATTGGTTAAAAGTCGCGTGGCATATGCACGCAAAGTATGCGATAACCTGTGCTTGACTGGGTCGTCCTGGCCTCGCTGCGGCACGTGTCCTTAGTGATGGTTGAAATCTTCTGAAAGGCTGCACCTCCAAAACTCGGCAGGAATAGCCCTCTACGTGGCAACATGATATGAGTCCACGCTTTTCACCGTTCTAAGGTTTCCAATAAGAGTTCTCTTTCTAATATGAAGCGAGATCATTCTTCTTGTAGTGAACTATTGATATGGACAGGGCACCATTTTGTAACGAGTGTAATTGATCTCCCGGGGCGAAAATAGTTTGTTTTCGAGCTATTCATCCTAATCTTGACAAAAACACGGCCAAAACCTCTTCGTTTCCCTAGCTTTAATTCAGCAGACGAGCAGTTTTTGGTGCCGGCACCAGATACGATCGCTGCCATCGCGTCCTACGTGCTGAGCTCGTCGGCAACCTTCGTAGTCGTAAATATCCATTTCCAGCTCTCGCACTGGACATGGGAGAACTGCGGTGCTCTTGGCGACCGGGGTAGCTCTGTTGGTTGCAGACGCTTTGAGCTGGGTCATGACCTCGGAGTCAGTATGTCGTGTGGCATCCGAGAGGCCTCCAGTCACCACTGTGTCCACCCTTCTGTCAGGACCAGGCAGTACGTGTCAGCCGTGGCAGCTCGGAGGCGCCGGTGGACGACGTATGGACGTGTGGACGTGGCGTGACGTAGGAGGCTTTCGTAATAATGCCTCGAGACAGAAACAGAAAAGCGCTCCAGTTTTCGGCGAGTAAAATGCTTGAAATGAGTAGCCTAGTCATTCAAGTCTTTGAAAACTACAGCCATTCAAAATTGCGCAATAATGTTTAGTGGCACCTCGAACAGCGAATGCCTGGAAACTTATTCTAACTGCATAATCATCATCAATGTTTTATAATCGTGCATTCAAAATTTCAGTGGCATAACTCTTTGGACGGGATGTGGTACCAACTACGCGTCTTAATAAACATGTTTCCTTCAGGAAAAACTGAATACACGCAAGGCTATTTGCGCACATTGTAGAAATTGTTAACTATCGGCTCGGATTTTTTAGGCAGCTGCTATTATCTTAAATAGCTTTGGTCATTCTCAAAATTGTTCGATGACAGTCAATGCATTTAATCTTCGTAAGCTAGATTCAATTTACTCCGTATCGCTTCTCAAAACGTGCGAAATATGTCACGAGAACCGCGAAAGAACATGCTACAATGGGCACAAACACATCTCTCATACATTTTTGCTCATGAACGGACATACGAAATGCACCCGAGCATTACTGTAGCATTTATAACGGGGCGACGACTGATCCAAACATCCCCACCGCACCCCGAATGTGTGGACTAGTTTATGCTCCCCTGGGCATGGCAGAAATCATCCGCACCCATCCTTGGTCGTTTGTGCCCCCGGACGCCGTTCTTCCACGGCCATGAGACTGACGGCGGTATCTGGGCCAATCACGCCAAGCATAGCGGTGAAGGGCCAGGTCATCGAAGGCCGCCCGCTGGGGGCCAGCAGTGGGGTGCATCACGCCCGGCCCGCGTCATATCTCGGTACGGTGGCAGTCAACGTACGCCGTTAAGATTTGTGTATGCAACAGTGAGGCGTTGGGTGGGGTATTTGGATGAGATATTCAGGAAGTTGGCCTTACCGTTCTGTCGACCGTCCAATTCATTTATTCGATCGGAAATTTGTCTGCAGTTTCAAAAATGACGCCGGGTAAGAATCCAGAGTGGGAAAGATAGAGAGGGTAGAGAGGCGTGTCTGGTGATAACTAGCACCTGACAAATGGAGGGGCTTCTCTTGTCGTACCGTTTTCACATCACGCCCGGTAGAATTGCACTCCCGGGGCCATGGTGCACATCGGTCTCTTACATCACACCCACTCACCACAGACGCGTCTATTCATGGACATGATTGGAGGGAGCGGGAGACCCGACAACCTGACTTCAAAATTGTATGCTTCTGAACGGATTAATCCCACTTTATTCCAACGAACACAATTTCTAATTGAAATCATAGCAGCACTGATCGACTGGTTCTTGACATGAGCAGCATAATGGTCCAGAGCAGCAAGTAATGCCCGAAGGTCAGCTTTGCGTGTTATCAGCCTCCCGCATTGTTTTGAAGTTCTTTGTATGTATATATACATATACATGTATATATAAATATATATATATATATATATATATATATATATATATATATATATATATTTATATGTATAATAGTTATATACATCTACCGTCCAAATCCAAAGGTACAACCCCATATGTTACCTTTTGGCCATGCTGCGCTTTTTATGTCATCTGATTAATCTGGGCATGCTGATTTTGATTATTTAACCAATCAGTTGACATTTTCGCAAACTTTTAGCCCATTTCTTAAAGCTAAAAGTGTGTGAAACTTCCAACTACAGATTTAAATATCCGAAGCCACATTATTTGAGAAGACGAATAAGATGGCAAAAAAAAAACGCAAAATGGCTAGAAACGAACGTATGGATTTTTTTTACCTTTAGACGGCATATATATGTTGTGTTTAAATCACAGAGGACTCAGCATGGAGGATCTTTTTATGACAGTTTTCGCTTTCGATGTTCGTTTAAGATAGTACCAAAGCTCGTGAGACAAAGAAGATATAGATTGCTATATTGCATGGTCTGGTATTACTTAAATTCATGGACGTTCCATCCTTTATAGGACATTTTCTAAAGTGACGGCTTTAGACAAAATTTATGTCATCACATATTTGCAAATTCAAGCCCTCTCGTGTCTATTCTGACACGGATCCCTTGCTTACATGGATTAGTTTTGTAATTCCAGTACAGTGCAAACGTGCTACATACATACCACAATACAGACCTTAACGCATTGCACAAAGCCATCATTCAAAACTAAAAACGTTCGTCGCGACACGCAAAACAATGCCCCTGCGCTCTCCGCTCTAATAGTCGCCCTCCACACAGATGGAGGGTTTCGCGCGCCTTTGTCTGTTTATTGACGAGAGGACCCCTTTCGTGAACGCGTATCGCTTCTAGAGCGATGAGTCTTCGTCTCTGTGTGGAGCGTGCGATGGCATTTATGTTGCTGTTGAGCATTTGGCGTGCCAGGTGGTTTTGTGTTGGACCTCCATGTGTGTGTGTGCGTGGGCCGCCGTTTTGTAAGTGCATGGTCAGACGTCTGGAAAGTGTCGTGTGTGGCCCATGTGTGCATATCAGGTAGGAGCACACAGCCTTCCATGTTGCATTTATAGCGATATGTGACGCTGGAAGTCCAGATCAACCGAATCATGTCACAGTAGCTAAACCAATGCCAAGAACAGAACATCAGAACACGTACCACCTGTTCCTTTAAAAACATGATGTGCTCTGGGCATAAAGCTGACGAAAAAGCCTCGCAAAACATTGTCCGTCATAATTGCCAAACGAGGGATCCCAATAACATCCTCAAACTTAACATCTATTATGAAAGTTCAACTACACCCTCCCTGATCAGGTAAAATAACCCTTCACGTGATGATTCGGTTCCACTTAAAGAAAACAAGGCCATATATCGCTATGAAGGCACCCTAGGAGACTGTGCGCCGCTACCTAACAGCAAATATCTCGGCCACACAACAATATATTCCAGACGTCTAGCCACAAGCCTAAAAAAAAAACGGCGGCCCACGCACACACACATGAAGGTCCAACACAAAACGACCTGGCACGCCAAATGCTCAACAACAACATAAAAGCCATCACACGCCCCACACAGAGACGAAGACTCGTCGCTCTAGAAGCGATATGCATTCACGAATGGGACCCCCTCATCAATAAACAGACAAAGGCGCGCGAAACCCTCCATCTGTATGGAGGGCCACCATTAAGTCAGATAGTGCAGGAGCATTGTGTGTTTTGCGTGTCGCGGATGTGCGTTGTCTCTTGTCAATGACAAGCATATACGATGCGTAAATGCTTATGTCTGTAAATGCTTAAAATGCTTATGTCGTGATTTGTATGTAGCATGTTTGTGCTATACCGGTATTACCAAAGCTGATGTATGTAA